ACTCCGCCCCGAGGGATTCGTTTTGGAAAGCCTGGCCCAGTACACCATGCTCGTTGGATGTCTAAAGCATTATACTCTCTCCAGATATTCATGTTTCAGCACCGGTTCCAACTAACTATCAAGGACAAGAAGCTGATTCAGACCATGTCCCTTTTTCTTGCTCTTGTGTACGGTCCAGTGTGGTTCAAAGCTCCTGAAGTGTTTGAAGTTCCAAGCAATGATATATCCTTCTTCAAACAACTTCATTACTATAGGGATAAAATCGATGAATCAGTTGGAATGGCAGCAACAAAGGCTTTCCAGCTGCATCTATGGTATTTAAGTGAGGAGTCAGTCGCTCTGGCTCTCTTCAGTGATAGTGTTTCGTATGCTGAGAAAAGAGAAATTCTTGAGTCAATGAAGGGAAAGAACGAGAAAAAGGAATGTCCAAAGAAGCTGAAAGTGACAGAAGAGGAAATTCCATCACTGGAGCTTAAAAACCTTGCATCCACTGCTTTTTTTCAAACCACGCTCCTGGATTCTAGATTCGTCTCCAAAGATCCAAGCCAATGAAATGACGATCCACAGTTCCTTCAGTCAAGGGAAATTCTACAAGAGTTGCAGGTGGTGAATGATGTGGCCGAAAGAGCGGTGAAGCTTATCCAGGACTACAACTCTTCAATTACGAAAAGCGAAGATCAAAGGCAGTACTGTACCTGCTTCAGGTGGTCACCACACATCGACGTCAGTATCTCAACATAAAGGAGGCTAATATTCTGTGATGTATGTTTCTCTTACATGTGTTCTTTATGTTAATCTCATATTTTGGATAAAAAAAACACCAACAAATAAATTTAACAAATACATCACTTGTATCTGATGTCAGGAAAAAGAATTATTTTATAGAAGGAGAAAACATTAGAGAAGTAGAATTTTCGGGCCACTTGTGCATACCCTAAATGAAGCTGTAATTACCTATAATTTCGCCTGAAATGTTTTTTGTATGTAAAGGAAGCAAATAAACATTAGGCACTAAAAACATAAAAAACTTTACTTTTCTTAACCATCCTAATATATATATATATATATATATATATATATATATATATATATATATATATATATATATATATATATATATATATATATATATATATATATATATATATATATATATATATATATATATATATATATATATATATATATATATATATATATATATATATATATATATATATATATATATATATATATATATATATATATATATATATATATATATATATATATTAGGGTGACAATAAAAAGTGAAAGTTTTTATTTTTAGATGGCCATTTGTCCAATACTGCGTACCCATGAAAAAAGAACACAGGCGAAATCCTGGGTCATTTGGACAATATTTAGAGGTGGCTCAAGCCATTTGAAGTTAACACTACTGAAATTATTATTGATTTTTTCTAATTTCTTTATTTATGAACCGATTACTATGAAACTTTGCAGGTATATGTAGAATGCAAATTCAAACTAAAGTTGTTCCTAACATTTTTTCTAAAAATGAGTAATGAGTATTTTGGCTGGTGCAGCTATTGGCAATGCAGAGGGGAGGGAGAGGCGGGTGTCAGTCGGGGTAGGGGGAAGAGGTTGTGTGCCAGTGTCTGACTGGTACAGTAGCATCAGTTGTGTGTGAGACGTGACGGTGGGTGTGTGTGCGTCGCTCTTGTTGCAGTATTACGGTTAGTACCATTGTCTTTGTCTAAAATCAATGCATCAATTTAGGTATATAACACTTTAAAAACTTTATACAAGTGATCTTGCATGCCGTATGCTTTATGGGTGCTGTTGTTTGCATAACAGTAACAACATAAGTTACATAAATGTTTTTGTTTGTTTCAGGTTCAATGGAGAGTACACGTTCAAAAACTGAAGTTTGGCTCATTGGTCAACACATAACCGAAATCACGGGTGCACAACTTCCTTCAAGAGGAGATGTTCTACGTCTGTTTTTCCACGGTCACAATGAACATAAGAAAACAGTGAATGATTCTGCGAGTGAAGTTGCAGCATCGGTTATTAGTTTCTGGAATAAAGCACGGATTCCTACCATAACTGAGAAGAGTATTGGACGAAAGGTAGTGGATCTTTTTTTAATGTGGAAGGGACTTAAGAAAAACTGCACTCGCACTACAGACACACAACGTAAGAAAGAGGAAACTTTTTGTGATGAGTTAGAGGACCTCTTCGATGTTGCCCACCCCAAGGCAATGCAGCTCTTGACCATCAAAGAAGACCGAGCATTCCTGGCAGCGCAACGAGAAAAAGGGAGAAGAGGTGTAATGGCAGGAGTAGACAAAAAGATTGCTTGTTCCATCAAGCGTCGGGAAGAAAGCAAGAGTAAGCAATCTCTACAACAGAATCAAGCCAGTTCTGCTCTTGAATATGATGAGTTGGGTTCTTCGTCTGAAACAGAATCACAATCAAGCTCGTCATCATCTACAAGTTCCCTAGCGATATCACCAGTGGTATCTTCTTCCAATCGTAAACGTGCTACTCTCAAAGTTATCACCCCTGAATTGTCAAGTACATTGGACCGCACTGGGATCAGTCACCGCTCTGCTCTCCGGATCGTCAGTGCCACGGCTGCTAGTCTAGGTCATGACCCAATGGAACTAGTTTTAAACTATGAGACAGTGCGTACTTCGCGAGCGACCCACCGTTCTGGGATTGCCAACGAAATTAAAGAAAAATTTCAACCTAGTGAAGTGCTCACTGTGCACTGGGATGGAAAAATTATTCCTGATGAACAAGGAGCGAGTGTTGACCGAATCGCCATTCTTGTCTCCGGAATCAATACTGAAAAGCTGCTTGGTGTCCCGAAACTATTGTCAGGGACTGGACAGGCCATTGCTACAGCAGTCAGTGCAGCGCTGGAAGAGTGGAAAATATCAGAGAATGTTTCAGCACTCAGTTTTGACACAACAGCTTCAAACACTGGGCACTTGTCGGGGGCATGTGTCATTCTGGAGCAGAAACTCGGCCGCCGTCTTCTGCATCTCGCGTGTCGTCACCACATCCTTGAGCTTGTTGCCGAGAAAGCGTATGTGGAATGCATGGGGCCTTCCTCTGGACCAGATAATACTCTCTTCTCTCGCTTCAAGCATAAGTGGAAGGACATCAGTCAAGATGACTACAGCCCTCTCTCAGACCTCCCTCCAAGTTTGTACGAGAAACGAGATGACCTCATCTGTTGCTGGAAACATCATCTGGGCAAGAAGCAGCAGCCACGTGATGATTACCGTGAGGTACTGGAGCTAGCAATCAGGTGTCTCGATGGAGCTCTACCCAAGTTTAATCTCCGACGGCCGGAGCACTTCACCGAGCACGGTGGATGGCTAAGCTCATTTATGTCATGAAGATCCTGATTTTTGCTAATCAGTTTAAACTAACTGCTCGTGAGACATTAGGCTTGAAACGATTCACATTCTTTGTGCTAGAGGTGTATGTCAGTGCATGGTTCACGGCCTCCGTTCCATCCTCCGCTCCTGCTAATGATTTGCGGCTCCTCCAAGACCTGTCAGAGTACCACGACGTCAAAATATCAAGAACATGTCTCACAGTCTTCGGTCGTCACCTGTGGTACCTCAGTGAAGGCTTGGTGGGTCTTGCACTCTTCGATCCACAAGTTAATGCAACAATGAAGACAAACATAGTTCAGGCAATCGTTGAGAGGAAGGCGACCGAGGATTCACCAAAACGTGCTGCTCTTCCTGCCACATCTTCCCTTCCCACAAAGCAGCTCTCAGACTTTGCTTCTAGAGGATCAAACTTTCTATTTGAAAGTCTCAAAATGAAGACTTCTTTTTTGTCCAAGGAACCTGACACATGGTCTGATGATGAAGACTTCAAAACTGGCGTCGCAGTTGTGGGTGGTCTCAGAGTCATCAACGACACTGCAGAGAGAGGGATTGCCTTGATACAGGCATTCAACAGCAAGATCACGAAGAGTGAAGACCAGCGTCATTATCTGCTGCAGGTTGTTGAAGAGCAGAGGCGGTCACAACCAGGGACATCAAAACAGGACCTTACAAGCAAAAAGCGAAAACAATGAATGGGTTGTCCACACCTCTCCCACCCATTGATGTAAGCGTGTTCACTGCAGTTTCATTTTAAAAAGGAATTAATCATTTATATGTACAGTGTACACATAAACTTGCTCAATATGTAAATTTTAAAATAAACCGGCATATTATGAATATTCGTATTTTTTGCCAAAAGGATAAAACTTCAATTGACTTGAGCTACCTCTAAATATTGTCCAAATGACCCAGGATTTCGCCTGTGTTCTTTTTTCATGGGTACGCAGTATTGGACCAATGGCCATTCCATTTAATCAATTTTAGAAATTCACCCCTATGCACTATTGTCACCCTAATATATATATATATATATATTTATAAATATATATATAAGGTTTACTAAGCTTTTATTACATATGTTAGTATTATTAGTAATGTTGCAGGTTAAGGCTTCTTATGTAATGCGGCATGGAATAAGTATTTAACCTTCTAATTATAACATAAACCACACCGAGAGGAGTGAAGACTTTTAAAAATAAGTGAAACTCTTAGAAAAACACCATCGTCTAATTAACAGACCCTCGGTATTATTAAGAGGCTACGGCCTAATTCATTTATCACTTCACATAACATGAGTCAATAAAATTAAATCTAATTAACCTAATTTAATCAACAAATAAGCTAAAATTAATAGATCGTTTTAGGTTGGCAAGTTAAGTTTGTTCATTCATGTCTTATGCAGTCAGATCTTATTTGTGACTTCTCCCCTTACTCCACCGTGGTCAATTTCAGACCACACACCACAAGGAGAATTCACTGTGCTACAATATTATCTTAATACGGCAGTTTAAATTACGAATTAATTATCCCAGTAAAATAATTATTTTATATTAAGTATGAACCCGTAACTTACAATTATTTTTTTCTCAATTTTCTCATTGACAGTATTGACGTCCATGAGCAGCCTGAACGTGCCTGGGGAGTACAAAAGGACGGCAAGTTTAACGGGATAGTGGGTGAACTCCAGCGAGAGGAGGCAGACTTTTCTGGGCCAATGGGTCCATTAGCAGAGCGGATTAAGATTATGGAGTTCCTCCCAGCATATAAGGTTGACGTACTGAGCATAGTATCATTAAAACCCAGTAACCTGCCTCAGCAACTCTCAATAATTAGACCCTTTGCAGGTTAGTTTGAGAACTTTCACTCTTATTTAAACTAAGAAATCACCCGAGAAGAAAGTTGAGCTATTTCTCAGATTACTTTTGTAACCGAATTAATGATTTTATTTGTAGCAATTAAGTCAACAAAACCTGCATAAAGCTGAATTTGGGGTACGTGAGTCGGTAAACTTAGGAGGGGACTACTTTACCGCAGTTTCCCTTGGCTGCGGCCTCCAGCTATTCCTCAACCATATTATTTGCTAGCATTCATACTCACCGCCTTAGTGCACTTGATAAAATATTAAAACACCTTGTTGAGTGGTGAAAGTTAAAGGAATTGTAAATTTTCTGGAGAGTCACTTGGTCAATATGCCAACAGGAGGCTGTCAAATGAATGTGACATTTCTGCCAGATGTTACTTCTGACCAGTGAAGGCTTAGGAAGAGAGATTAGTTGTATGGGCACCAGACATGGGGTAACCATAATCTGTAATCGCAATATCTTACAATCGATTACATTTGTTGAAGTAATCGTAATTGTAATCGATTACATTCTTATTTTTGACAAAGCAATTGTAATCGCAATCGATTACATTCAAAATGTAATCGTAGTCAGGATTATTTTCACGATTACAAGAGTAAGTACAGTTCCGTTCAGAAGTTCGTTATACACCCGTGGTAAAGGGTGAATAGCCTGTTGCACTCTTCCTGTACGGCAGGTCACTACGCCGACCCTCCCACCAAACCACAGAGTGAAACTGACAACGTAGCAATTTGATTCAAACGAAGACTAATGAAAAAAGAGATGGGAAGGATATAAATATGAATATCGGAGAACGTTAGTGCTGATGGGTGATGAAGATACGATAATATCCTGCTTACGAGAAGAATAAAACCATAGTGATAGGAGGATCCATTCCAGTATCAGAATAAAATGGGGAAATCGGTTTCGAATGAACATTTTAAGAAGTAGTTGAATAGAATTCATACTATATGGAAAGTCTTTAAACCAGGTGTGTTTTGCTGTCAGGTTACCCTTCGCTGCCTTACATAGTTAAATTCAAAGAGCATATTTTTTTCTTTTACCTGTGGTTTTAAAGAGCGGTCCTCATTAAGACCCATTATATTTCTCCATCACTGTTATAACCATCACTTATATACCAAACGGATAAAACAAGAGACTTTATAAGAAATGGAAACATGGATGTGATTAGTACTGGGTAAATGTTTACATATCAGTTTCTCAGGCAAACTCTGCAGGATGTAATGTGTATGAAGAAGTTAATCCGAGGATGGTAGCGCACGATCTCTATAAAGACAAACACTTCATAAACGAGTTTCAGAAATTGAAAGTGAAATTGAAATATTTCATTAACAAACAAGTTTCAGACAAACTGGTTCACTAGTGTCAGGTTACTCGTTGGCCGTCGAGATGGCACTGGAACAGACCTATTGTCTCGGTATATGTGTTATAACGTATTTGTGTCTCAAATATCCAAATTTAAGCTGTGTTCAATAAGTATAGTATCTATCTCTGCTTCTATCGTCTATTTATTTGTGTGTCCGGAGAGGCCAAAGGGTAGTTGTCTTTACCACTTCCCTCTGTTATTATTAATTAATTGGTATTATATATATTGAATACAAATACTGGGGATATATTCCAATATATTAAAGCTCTTAATTATATTATAATCATCATCACTCGTTATTTAATCCTTACAACGGGAAAGACAAAAACAAGAAGACTGGTTTGGTGCCGGACACAACTCTCAATACTAGGCCATGAACCATACTACCCCCAACTGCCGTCCACAATAGCTTTAATAGATTATCAACTTACTTTTTTTCCTCAACATATTTTGTGTATAAATTGTACTCAGCGTATTAATGGTTACCAATGATTATTTAAATGAAACCTCTGGGCACCAACTTCTCGTCTATCTGATTCATGATGGCTTGGTGGAGCTTCTGATCACTCTAATCATCGGCAAGTAACAACTCCTTGGTGGAACACACACACACACACAGGCAGACATAAGCACATAAGAATGGAGGAAACGGCAGCGGGCCAATTGGCCCATACTGGGCAATCCCATTTACACCCAACCCCTATTGCTCATACATCCATCCAACCTATGTTTGAAGCTATCCAGCGTATTCGAGTTAATGATGATGTTTGGTAACTTGCTCCACTCGTCCACTACTCTATTTCCAAACCAACGTTTACCTATTTCGCGCCTAAATGTACTTTTGTCTAATTTAAAACCATTGTTACGAGTTCGCTCCTGGTTGGATAGTTTGAGTACCATTGCAGTGTTCCCTTTGTTTAGCCACACACACACACATATATATAAATATATATATATATATATATATATATATATATATATATATATATATATATATATATATATATATATATATATATATATATATGTGTGTATGTGTGTGTGTGTGTGTGTGTGTGTGTGTGTGTGTGTGAGGTAGACCTCTTGGAGTTGATTGAGTATGACAGGTCAAGTGTTGGCCTGTACCAGATGTGGCTGGGTTCACAAAGAATTTACCACACTCTGTTTTTACACACTACAGAGACATTTATTTAAACAACTTGGGATGTCTAAACAGGCATTTCTCATCTGTGCCTTGGAACACAGGGTTGTAGATGGATGTATGGGCTGGTTGTTCTTCGAGAAGCGAAAAAGGATATACAGACATTGTCTCCCAACACTTGAGCGTTGTGAAGATGTGAGGTGTCTGTTTGAGTGTTTGTAGTGATTAACACTCCCCACACGACAGGTTAACGACGTACTGGGTCTCGTCCACTTGAGATGGGGAATTCAGTCATCTGCTTGTCCAGGTGTTGCCACACTACAGTGAATTGTGTTTAACTCACTTAAATGTTATTTGAGTAAACAAAAATTGTATGTCGATCTGGGATGACATTTAAATATATCACTTGACATATAACGTTCACGAGAAAATATTCGGTGTATATATAGTCTGTTGCCTTGGAGAACGACACTTGCAAAATTTTACTGTTACTTGGGTTACAGTGACAACGGTTCTTGCACAGTTAGTTACACTGCTTCACTGGTTCAGTTAATGGTTCTATCTGTTCGCTGCCACCTGTATATATAACCTTTGGTAGAAGCGGTACCGTTCTTGCCCTGCAAGCGAGATGTCACGGGTTCGATTCCCGGGCCGGTGGAAGTTGTTTGGACTTACTTCCTCGCCCCTATTAGTCCCTGTTCACCTAGCAGTAAAGTAGGAACCTGTTGTAAGTCGAAAATTGCGAATTCGTATTCAGGGACAAGTTGTTGGAGCTTCCAATGACTTGATGACATAAACCATTGACTCTTCAGGCTTCTACGCCCTTGACTCTTCAGGCTTCTACGCCCTTGACTCTTCAGGCTTCTACGCCCTTAACTCATGAGACATAAGGCAAGCATGAACTTAGCATGCTTCCCTGTTGGGTGCTGTAAACGCTTCTGTGCTTCACCTTACACAAGGATGTAGAGGGGTGCCCAATAAAAAAAAAAAAAAAAAAAAACTTGAACAGCACAAGTCACCTAACAGCTTGTGAAGATTACAGTAGGGTGATTGTATTATATAAACTAAATGTATTAGCCCAAATTTACATAATTGTTATTGCCATGAGACAGGGGCTAATGCATATATATATATATATATATATATATATATATATATATATATATATATATATATATATATATATATATATATATATATATATATATATATATATATATATATATATAGAGCTAGAGTATTACACGGAAAACTTCAAGTTATGAATTCAATGAAGGCGCTTCATATACCAGTACTACTTTTTCTACTGTTTATTCTTCTCGTAAGCAGGATATTAGCGTACAGTATCTTCATCACCCATCAGCACTAACTTTGGCCGATATTAATATTAATATCCTTCTCATCTCCTTTTGATTAGTCTTCTTTCGATTCATACTGCTGCATTGTCAGTTTCACCCTGTGCTTTGGCGAGAGATTCGGCGTAGTGACCTGCCGTCTAGGAAGGCTGCAACCGGCTATGTGCCCTTTTTTGAGGGTGTATAACAAACTTATGAACGGAACTGTACATACCGGTACTTCATTTTGTTTCATCCAATACTGAGCTCATGATTTTCAATACTGTCATCTACATTCGGTCCTTTATATGACTCGGCAAACATTCACCATGTATATTATGTCCGTAATACTCGAGCAGATTGATTTAAATTATCCCTATCTTCCAGAAGACACAGGTCCTCTTAAATTCTGGGAACAAAATAAAGCATCCATACCTGTCCTCTTTAAGCTCGCATTGAATTATCTTGGAGTACCAGCAACTTCAGCAGCTGTTGAGAGAGTATTCAATGTTGCTGGCAGAATCTTCAAGCCGGATAGGTGCCAGCTTAGTGATAAAACCTTCCAGAGTCTAGTTTTCATTAACTTCAACAAAAATAATAAGTTTTAATTACCACAACCCTGTCCTGAGAAGGTGCAACCATTCAATATTTTCTTACTGTTAATGATGTATAATATGTATTGTACGTTTATTTGCATATATGAATAGCATTAGATCGTTTTTATTCTTGAAATTATCTTTGATATAATGGATACATATGTTTCAAAACATTTAAGTTCTAAGTCTTGTCTTAGAAAAAGTTAATGCTAAATTTGAGATTTAATATTACAGTATTGTTTTGATAATCTACATTTCCTGAAAGTAATGTCTTAGGTATATCTCAGTATGCAGTATACCATACATTTAATTTTATCAGAGCACCAATTTACTATCTTCTTATAAACATTTGTGTTAATAATACTCCAAAACTTCAGAACACTTCATAGTTATTTAGGTCATACATTTCTGTATTTCTAGTTTCCATATTAATCTTAGGAAAATTTATATCCATTTTCCCTTTCTATTAAATGGCCGCACCATTATGTATTATGTCGACCTTTTTCATCTCTCTGAAAATATGATTTAATTGTACCAGGTTGACAAACAGGACTGTAAATTGAGTTTTTATAGTAGGTTCGATTATTTATGCACATTCCTTTTGAAGTAATCAAGATTGTAATCATGATTATGCATATAATCGTAATCGTAATTGATTACATCCATTTGTACTCTTATCCATATCGTATTCATAAAATTACCATGCAATCATAATCGTAATCGACTATATTACCGATGTAATCGCCCCATTACTAATAAGGGCCGGCATGACTACTAGATGGGTTTGTGGTATAACTTCATTTTATTTCATTTTTCTTCCAGGCGAACTCTGGGTAGCAGTGCTGGCAAGTGTGGTAGGGTGGGGAATGACACTTTGGCTTCTGCAAAGCACATGGAGTAGGATAGCAGGAAGTCATGGTGTTAGGTTCAGCACTTCCATCCTGTACGGCTGGGGCGCTCTTCTGGAGCAGCCACCCTCCAACCCTGCAATAAGCGACTCAGGAAGAGTGAGAATATATATATACATATACACACAGGCATCCCCAGGGTTACGGAATTTCTGGTTCTGGTTTTGGAATTTCGAAATTTAAACCATAATTTCGGGTTACGGAAAAATATCACCCTTACGGAATTTTGAAAATGTTAAAATAAATTTCACAAAATTTTTGCAATTTTTAATAAAAAAAATAAAAAATAGTAAAAAATATATCGTGTGGATGCATCTGTGGTAGCACAAAGGCATCAGCAGTGTTGTAACAACAACAATGATTTCGTTCTGTTTGAATCACCAGCCCATGCCCAGCTTTCCCTCAGGTTTTTGGACTGTAATACAGATATTGTATTGTGCATTCTTATTCAAGATGAATGGAAAGAGGCCAGCAAGTGCTAGTGCTAGCACTGGCGCTAAGAGAGCACGTAAAGGTTATATTACCCTTGAGACAAAATTAGACGTGTTAAGGGGATTTGAACAGGGGAGGAAACAGGGCTACATTGCTAAAACTTTGGGCCATGATATCTCCACTGTAAAATGATATCTCCCTTTATGTCAAGAAAAAGGTATTTCATACAGCATTGATGTCCGCCTTGTTATATGGTTGTGAATCATGGTTAAATGGTGACATTACGCCTGTGAATAAATTTTATATGTTGTGCATTAAACAGTTATTAGGTGTCAGGAAAACGACCAGCAATGATTTATGCTTTTTGGAACTTGGTTATACTCCGTTACGTGCCCTCATAATAGCTAAGCAGCGTAAATTTTTCTTGAAGATATGAAAGGGAAGAAGTGAAATGGTAGGAGATCCACTTTCCCATACTGTTAATGTTGTATTAAGTTTTAATAAGCCCACGTCACGATATGTATGCGATCTCTTATTTAATGATATTGATGATGTTCAAATAGCCTTACACACTCTGAAACAGAAACTGTCATACTCAGTCTCAAGTAGAGTACAATAATACAAGACTATCAATCCAACTTTTGATGTTCATACAATCTATAATACAAATATAAAGGTGAATGAGCTAGAACGAGTATCGTGGACACGAGTGAGAGTGAGTGGCCATTCCCTCCCAGTAGACGAGAGGCACTGGAACAGACGAGGCAGGGGCCATCTGCCCTTTCAAGAGAGATTGTGTTCATGTGGTGTTATTCAGTCTGAATGGCATGTTGTTGAAGAGTGCCCCCGAACAATAGATATACGCCATCAATATAGTATCTCAACTTTTGTAAATTGCTATCTGAAAGAACGGATTATGAAACTGTTTGTCGTGCAGTTCATCGAATACTTCATGTGAATAGTTACAAGTCACAGGGACATACCATTACCCAGTACCATTTTGTATGTTTTAGTTGATTTTACTTGTAGTTATTTTTCTAATTTATTTACTCATGGTTTTCATCTCATTTTTTGTGTTGCTGGTTGAATCAGTGAACTTTTATGAATGTTTGGTGTTTTAAAACATTTGCATTTGGACCATTTTATGTAAAATTTTAGTGGAAACTCTGTATTCATAATTTGTGGTCAGTAAAATATCGATCTATCTATCTATCTATCTATCTATCTAACTATCTATCTATCTATCTATCTATCTAGGAACGTTCCGTAATAACAAAGAACAAAACTAGGGCTAGTGCTCAGGTTATTACTGCATTGTCAGCCTGTACTCTTTATTTTCATCGAAGTGATGTAATTATAAAAATGTATCACTTGGTGTATGGATAGAGAACCAGACCAAGCGAAATGTGCCCATTAATACAGTGGTTATTCAGGAGAAGGCCAAGAGCCTGTACGCAGATTAAAGCAGGAAGAATGTGATAGCTCAAATGAGAAACCCTTTAATGCCAGCAAATGATACTTTGAGCATTTCAAAAAATTTTCAAACCTACACAACATCAAGATGGTAGGTCAAGCAGCTAGTGCTGATACTGAGGCTGCTAAAAAGATCCTGCTGAGTTAAAAGCAATAATTGAGGCTGATGGGTACACACAACAGCAGGAGTATAATGATAATGAAACAGGCATCAGGGTTCTTTTGGAAGCATATACCTGCCAGAACCTTTATTTCAACAGAGGAGAAAACAGCTCCAGGGTTCAAGGCTTTCAAAGATCGTGTGACTCCTGTTATGGGGTAATGTAACAGGTGATTTCAAGCTAAGGCCCATGGTTATCTACCACTCAGAAAATCCCAGGGCTCTTAATGGCTACAAAAAATCCAAGTTACCTTAAAATATGGTGCTCCAATAAGAAGGCATGGTTGACAGATAGCCTCCTCCAAGATTGGTTTACAAACAACGTCTGTCCTGCTGTAGAAAGGTACAGTAACTAACAAAATATTGTCAAAAAAGCTCTGTTACTTCTTGATAATGCTTCCAGCCACCCTGTTAACATTAATGACCTTTCGCCTAAGATCAGGGTTGAATACCTGCCCAGGAACACAAATTCCTTGCTGCAGCTTATGGATCTTTAAGGCCTACTGTCTGTACAGGACATTTAGACATCTTATAGCTGCAATTGATAGTGATGATCAGCAATCACTTGGACATTTCTGGAAACAAATTAACATCATGAATGCTGTAAACAATATTACTGATTCCTGGGATGAGGTGGAAAATACAAATATTAATGCAGTGTGGAAAAGTATCTGGCCAGATTATGCTCATGATTTCAAAGGTTTTCCCTAAGTCCAGACCTTAGATCAGGTGCAGCAGGACATGTAACTCTGGCAAATGATGCAGGGTTCGAGGAAGTAGACCAGGCTGGTGTAGTAGAGTTATCAGATCAGAGTCACACAGAGAGGATATGTATAATGAGAATTATATATTAATGGAAGAGGAGCTATTGGTCAACTGCGGGTTGTGATGCAATCATTTGAGACGCATGATCTAGACCAGCGCTTCTCAAACTATCTGATGTGGCGGACCGGCATGGTTTTTTTTCAATGTGCCACGGACCGGCGAGCGAAGCGAGCCAATCCCGGGGCCTATAGGCCCCCCCCCCCTCCAGGAAAATCTTTTGAGATATGTCCTATTTCAGGGTCATTTTGAGACTATCTGTACTAAACATGAAGACATGATGTCTTATTCATTCTAAGGCCACTCATCATTGACATAACAAGTCTTCCCAGTGTGCCAGGGACCAGTACCATATTTGTGCCATACAATTAATTGTTTACGATCAGAGAAAATATTATTTGAACATTCGTAGTAATTTTATTTTATACAGGAAAAATATAATGAATATAAAAGTGGGTTGGGGTGGGGTCCCAAATGACAAACACGCAGTTACCCGTATGATGCTCTCTGTTCCACTTCTTGATGGTAACTAACCACTGACCTGTGACCTGACATCACAGACTGCTGATCCACACGTGTGGAATAGCAGGGTTGCCAGCTGTGTGACACCCTTCACGGCTGGCACGCATAGTAAAAAATCGGCCATTTCTTTTAATGGGATGCATACATTTATTTTATCCGAAATTAGATAACTACCATACTTAAAATAAAAAGATTTATGTTTTGGGTGGATATGGCGTAACTGGTGGCCGAGAAACGTGGCAATTCTGGCAACACAAGGTGATGCGCCCTATTGATATCCCCAGGTGTGGTTCCCACAGAGTCAAACGCCACATAAGAACATAAGAACACAAGAAAGTGGGATACTGCAGGAGGCCGACTGGCTCATACAGGGCAGATCCCTTTCACACCCATCCCAGCACTTCCATGTGCCTATCCAACTTCGTCTTGAAGCTCCCTAGCGTCCCCGATCCTACTATAGCACTCGGTAGCCTATTCCACATATCCACAACTCTATTACCAAACCAGTGCTTGCCTATATCCTTTCTGAATCGGAATTTATCTAATTTAAAGCCATTTGTTCTAGTTATTTCGTTATTACTGAGCTTCAGAACATCTTCCATTTTACCCTTGTTAATCCCACTTACCCACTTGAACACCTCTATCATATCTCCCCTAACTCTACGCCTCTCTAATGAATGCAAGCCTAAGCTTTTCAGTCTTTCTTCATATGGAAGGTTTCTAATATTATGGATCATTTTTGTCATTCTTCTTTGTACTCTCTCCAAAGAATCTATGTCCATTCTATAATAAGGACACCAGAATTGAACCGCATAATCCATGTGTGGCCTCACTAATGCTAGGTAAAGTTTCAAGATAACGTCAGCAGTTCTGTTACTCACACTCCTAGATATGAACCCAAGAATCCTGTTTGCCTTGTTGCGAACGCTAATACATTGTTTTCTAGGTTTCAAGTCGTTGCTAACAAATACACCTAGATCTTTTTCACAATCTGAGTTTTCTATTTCCGTGTTACCTAGTTTATACTTAACGTTTGTATTCGTCTTCCCTATCTGTAGTACCTTGCATTTATCAGTATTAAAATTCATTTGCCAGTCTACTGACCACTCATGTAAGGTATCTAGATCTCTTTGAAGGTGTTCAAAGTCACTGTCTGAATTTATCACTCTCCCCATTTTGGTATCATCTGCAAATTTACTAATCCTACTAGTTATACCTAAATCAAGATCATTAATGAATATAACAAACAGCAGAGGGCCCAATACAGATCCCTGGGGAACTCCGCTTTTGACCGCACCCCAGTCTGACTTAAATCCATTTATGCTGACTCTTTGTTTCCTACCAGCTAACCTACCAGCTAACATTATCATGAAGGTGTTGTTATACGTATTTCAGTTCGCTGTTTTGCTGTTCATTATATCGCATTCGTTAGTTGCATAGCAATGACTTTTAACATGAGTGAGTAAATGAAAAATATAGCCATAATAAATATAAAAACTACAATGAAAATGTAAAAAAAAAAAACCGAGTCAGATGTCCCGGCAGTGTCACGTGGTGTGGAACGTGACTATCGTTTCTTTCTTTTCTGAAAACTCTCCGCGTACCGGCAGACGATGGCTCACGGACCGGCACCGGTCCGCGGACCACACTTTGAGTAGCACTGATCTAGACCGTAGATGCAGCCTCAAGT